TCTTTTAGCAGCTGTTGAAATAGATCAGAGTATAATAAATATTTTCAGTTGTAGTATAACGATTTTGAGCTGGTCATGCGTGTATACACAACTCTGAATTCATCCCTGCTGAGAAAGAGAGAAACAGTGCTGCGCGTGTGCTTCTTTGCCGTGTGAGATGTATTTTGGGCTGTACAAGTCACTTCAAGATTAGTAGCTTAACCAACGATTCCGGATTAACAACCCATCTCAGCTATCAAAGCAGTATCTTTTGTCCAGAAAGCCGTGGACCTTGACCACTTCCCGGGTTCGGCAATATAGTATCGGGGCCAACTTGAAAGCTGGGCTGCTTGATTCGCTCGAGTATACCGCCTTATTCGTCGTCATGTCGCAAACCACCGTGATCACTGCAAGCTACAATATTATAAACAAGGCGAAGCACGTTAGTCAGAGATTCATGTGGAACGTTTTGCAGTTCTCGCAGTTTGGCCGAACTAAATTACTCGAAACTTCACACTCGTTGACTCGGAGAACCTTGGATATACTATGATATGGAGCAGCGCTGGTGTAATGTTCTTTTTTCTTTAAATAAAATAAATTCCTCAGAACAGGAAGATTTGATCAGTTCATAAAACGTTCACTGGTTACTTCTAGTATTTGCGTCATCGTTTATGCACATTTCAACCCAGACATAGCAGGACAAAAGCGCGACAGCGGACTCGAAACTTAGAGCCCCCGCTTAGCGGCAGCCTCCTCTGAAATACTGCAGGGCAAGGTGAGAAAGCGTCGCATTAGGGGCCTGCACCGCGAGAGCTTACAGTTGCGAGACACGGAGGACAATGTTCCCATCAGAAGCGTATTGATCGCTGTATTGACGAAAAATCTCGCCTTCATTCTTGATTTTCCAGCGCGTAGCTGATCGTGACCAGTTTTGAAAGTAGTAGGAGGAGGGGGTGGTCGGACTTATGAACTCTTCTTAGTGGGTAAGCTAGCGCTTCCCTTGTAACCCCACTCACTCGCACTAGATAAGCATATGCCTACAACTGCTCTTCCCGACCACGTAATTCACGTTTTGCTCATTGTGTGCTACAGTTTTCGGAATCGCTGCACGCTTTGTGGTGTACATATCTCTCTTCAGCGTTGACTGATTGATATGTGGGGTTTAACGTCCCAAAACCACCATATGATTATGAGAGACGTCGTAGTGGAGGGCTCCGGAAATTTCGACCACCTGGGGTTCTTTAACGTGCACCCAAATCTGAGCCCGCGGGCCTACAACATTTCCGCCTCCATCGGAAATCCAGCCGTCGCAGCTGGGATTCGAACCCGCGACCTGCGGGTCAGCAGCCGAGTACCTTAGCCACTAGACCACCGCGGCGGGGCTCTCTTCAGCGTTTTATTGTACGTGGCACGTCATCGTCATGATGTTATGTTGTTTTAATTGAAGTCGTATTCGTTGATGCACAAAAAAATGATTTGATGCGTATCACGGCTGTCAAGTCATTCCACACAACGTTGAACGTGGAGTATAAAGATATTTTGAAATATTTCACATTGAACTAAATTGACTAGCGCACAGGGTTCAACATGACGCTATTTATGCTGAATTGCGTTCATTTTACAACGAAGCGGTAACACCCTGTTTGATTGGAATTTTTGGGGGTTTTCAGATGACATCGAGATTATCATCGTGAAGAAAGATCTGGGACTTAAAATGAAAAAAAAAAATAGCGACAGATGGTCACCCGGATAGAGCTCGAACGGAAGCTGGTGAAGTGGGCATATCGGTTGACGACGACGAAGACGACGACTACAACAACAAGTGAAAACTTTCAGGAGCTTCAACAGTTTAAAACGTGATAGCGTAATAGGGCCCGTTCGCATCGCCTTCTCAATTGCTAGCCCAGGTTTTGGTTCTCTCCTAAGCCATGCTGTTAAGAATTAGTCTGCGCGTAACATTAGCCGTTTCGAGCTATCCTCGAATGCCTAGTGCAAGCACAGTTATGTGCCCACTACGCCATGATTCATCCTTTTGCGAATCAGCGATGATGATTGATATGTGGGGTTTAACGTCCCAAAACCACTATATGATTATGAGAGACCCCGTAGTGGAGGGCTCCGGAAATTTCGACCACCTGGGGTTCTTTAACGTGCCCCCAAATCTGAGCACACGGGCCTACAACGTTTTCGCCTCCATCGGAAATTGCGAATCAGCGAAACGCCCACTACGCGCCCGTGTAAGGTAAGAAGCGAACCTATGTAGCAGCTAGTTTGGTTGATGGGTTCGCAGCTGGTGATAATAAAGTATATCTGAGTGCTTTGTAATGGGTGGGCCTTTATAACAGCCGCTCGCTGCGTGAATCACATGTTTTGACACCTGGCGCGATTCTACGTTTCTGCCACGCAATACTCCATGTGTTGAGGAGGCGCCGCGTACAACATGGCATTCGTGTAGCCGAAATGGTTGGGGGATTGATAATGATTTAAAATACGAGCGCGACACGCAGACAGGTCCATGTTTTTCCTGTCATTGCTTACGTATCACGCTCGTATTTCAAACCAAGATTAGTGCAGTGTTTTTTTTTTTCAAATAAGTTTCTACAAATAATGTGGCTCTGTCGATGAAGACCTGCTTGCTACGCAGAGGACATTCAACTCTCACTACAACCAAAGTTTTTTATTATTTTTTATTTGCATCTGTCTCAATTTTTTGGTCACGGACAAAATTTTTCGCTCACAACGACACCCACGCCAACACTGACGCCAGAAGTTCTGCGAAACGAGCTCTTTAACGCTGTCGCGTTATTACATCGAATATAAGCTTTATTCGTGCTGACATTCCGAACTACTGGTGTTGTTCAAGTTGCTCCCCGAAGTTATACTGCAGCAGAAGAACAAAGTTGAGCACCCGCAATGTGTCCCTGACGACAAATTGTACACCCTAGACGTGGTAACCGATAAATATGGTTTTGTTCGCTGATAATAAAGGTTACCACGTTTTAAATGTATGCATTCTGTTTTCTTTTTATTTTAAGCGTGCACTCTAAACGTGGTAACAAAAAATATGATTTTGCATACTGATAGTAATGGTTACCAAGATTATAATGGATGCTATCGAAGCTATAATTATATAATGTAATCCTTACTGTGTAGGGGCTCAATAATTATGCCTTGCACAGTAAGCGTGCAATAACAGTAAGGGTTACATTAGCTTCGATAGCATCCATTCTAAACTTGGTAAGCCCTGCTATCAGTGGGCAAAATCATATTTATTTGTTACCACGTTTAGAGTGCATGCCCAAATTAAAAAGAAAACAAAATTATAAGTGGTTCGCTTGGGTAAGCTGTAACACACAGTAAGATGCTCAGAAAAAAAGCGTCATAAAGATGAATGTCGGAACATAGGCGAAATCTATAGCAAAGTAAAGAGCTGATATTCAACACGTCTCTCTGAGCAACAAAGAATATTAAAATTCATCTTACAGAGATGCTGTCTAAAGTGTCAAATTGTCAAGTCTGTGCATCACGTTGGGATTGCTGCCGAACCATCATCGTTGTCGAAGTGCCGCCTTGATTATTGTCGGGGTTGTCATACCTCATAGTAGTCCAAGGGATAAATTTAGGCGCAAGCAAGACAAATAGTTAAGAAAGAAGGCGTATACAAAGCAAAAGGTCAGTTTGTCAACTGTCCCCGGCTGGTGCAACTCCTGTTGTCAAGCGGAATGCTATGAAACTTGACCGGCACATTGGCGGCGAAATATGACCAGAATGCTAGACGTAGCTTGAAGCAGACCCGTTGAACAAGAGTTTCAATATACTAGAAATGTATGTAAGTCCACAGAATTTGTTGCTGGGCTACTTGCCGCCCAGCAGCAGTCCTTCTCGTATTGTCATTAATTGATTGATATGTGGGGTTTAACGTCCCAAAACCAGCATATGATTGTGAGAGACGCCGTAGTGGAGGGCTCCGGAAATTTCGACCACCTGGGGTTCTTTAACGTGCACCCAAATCTGAGCACACGGGCCTACAACATTTCCACCTCCATTGGAAATGCAGCCGCCGCAGCCGGGATTGATTCGATCCCGCGACCTGCGAGTCAGCAGCCGAGCACCTTAGCCACTAGACCATCACGGCGGGTCATTGGTCATGTGCCACAATCGTCGCCCCATCACCGGTGTCGTCGTTAGACTGCTGACTATTTGCACGGCAGATTGCTATGTCTCCTTTGTCGCAACATTGATTGATGAATAATATGTGGGGTTTAACACCCCAAAACCACCATATGATTATGATAGACGCCGTAAGGGAGGCTCAAAAAATTTTGACCACCTGGAGTTTGTCGCCCCATTACATAAAAAAATTTCGAACAATTTTTTTAGTATCGACAATGCTACTTGACTTCGGCAGTCACCTTCAGACCCAGTTTTAATGCACGAACTGCGACACTTCGATATAGTCATCATTTGCTTGAAATACCTGGGCTTGCAAGTTTCCGGAGCATCTACAGCGGCTACGGGCACGAATTTAAACAGCTGAGCAGTTCTTATCAATGTCGCGACTGTATGCCGCGAAATATGTTCGGGAAATAAATGTTCGTGCATCGCCAGCAAACTTGATGGGAGGAGACTGCTGGCATTAGCAGGGGCAACTTATAACAACTCCCAGCAGTGCTATAAATGTGACCACACACCGGTTTAAAAGCTCAATGGGTGCTCCTGAGTCACGTTAAGGCGTATATCTCTTCCCAAACGAAGCAGAACCGCATGGCTAGCGATTCTGAGAAGCAAGGAGACCCGCTGAAGTGCGCCGTTAAAACAGCGACAGTTTAGAGCTGCTAAATTTACTGCGCACCCCAAAGCCGAGACACATGAAGCGGCACGGTCAAGGGACGGCCCTACAGCGCCCGCTTCGCGAGGATACCGCGGGGTGCGGAGGGGCTTTGGCGCCGCAGAGGCTTTCCTTCAGGGGCTGCGTCACGGGGGCCCATGGAAGGGGGAGGCGCGGTGCCACAGCGCCCCGAACCCACAGCCTGGCCATGGGGGCGCCGTGATGCCGGCGGCGCCCGAACAGGCCCCTCCTTCGTGGCCGGCCGTGAGGCGGAAGCAGGCGGGGCTGCCTTGGCGCTGGGCCGCCACCGTGGGCCAGAGCGCCTCCATGGGACCCGAGCACCAGGCCGCCTCGGCGCAGGGCTTCTCCGTGCAGCGCCTGCTCGACCAGGCGCCCCCCGCCGCACAGCGCGCCCGGCAGCCGTCCACAGGTGAGCGCTCACACCGGGCGTCAGTTGCCGGCTGCCGGCTTTGTTGACCGGGCAGCACTCGCTGTGCGGTGTACATTACTCGCTTGCTTGTCCGAGGTCAGTCAACGGTGGTCTCGCTGATGTTGTCAACCCATTTTTCCTCCACCGGCGCCTTGGCAGCGTTCACTTATGGCGAGGACGATAATACATTCTGTGAAAAGCACGGTCTGCGCAAGTTCGCCCGTCCACATGAAACAATAAAACAAGGAGAAATAGCAGGCAGCTCGACAGTTGATGAACGTCCACTGTCCTTGCAGCCCCCCCCCCCCCTTCCTTATTTCCACAGAACATATATATAAGACTTTAGATGGTATAAAGAAGACTGCCAAGCTCTTTGAACCGCTGTAACATGAAGTTGCGCATGAATCTAAATTTCGATTAGATCACGTGGCTTTCTAATGGCTATTATCCTTAGTTCTAACGAAGAACAGTTCTAATGAATTCTCCTGTGACGCTCCTGATCAAAGCCTTCGCTTCGCACTTGTTACCCAACTTCTTTCGTCAGACTGTCGCCTTTCCAATCAACGATTCTGAAACCTCATTCTACAAGCCCATCTACTTCACCCTAATTAACCTGCCGCCATAATGCATACAGCGTACGGAGTGTGCTGTAGCGTCCCCATACTTGCTATTTTTTTATGCGTGTATGCATCTCGAGTTATTCCTGACCACTCCATGTCACATGTGCACCTTCCGTGTGCAGCCTTTGCAAATTGTGTGTGGACGTTTATGTCTTACCTCTGGCAAAGGTACTTAATGCAATGGCGTATGACGTCATCACTACTAAACTACTAAAGTACGACATTTGAATCACAAATCCTTGTCCGGTTTGAATCAGTATATACGATGGGCAAAGACCATTGACGTCGAACGCGCAACCCGACAATTTATATATATATATATATATATATATATATATATATATATATATATATATATATATATATATATATATATATATATATATATATATATATATATATATATATATATATGTGTGTGTGTGTGTGTGTACAGCCAGCCTGTGTGTGGCTATGTGTGGGCGTGTTTTATGATAACTTTTGAATACCGTACTCAATTTTTGTAATTCATAAATTTTAAACAGAATACATGTTTATTTCTTACAGCAGCGGTTAGTGGAATCGTCCCCTCAAAAAATCTAGAGAAATCAAATGAACCGGCATAAATGAAAACTCTCTTGGGAGGCTAATGCAATAAATAAATGAATAGTACGAGTGCAGTGCTATATAACTGCCCCCTAGAATCGCTCACATGCCGTTTCACAGTACATATAGCACCTACTGTTTAGGTTCATATCATTACAACAGCGCCCCACACGGACGTGGTCAGAGATATTAATTATGGCCACGTATTGCGCACGCTGACGCATGACCATTTGATGTAGGTGGAGCAGCACCAAAGAATGAACACAGTCAAGGGAGTTCTTGAATGTATGGAGGATCAAACAAGTTGGTACTACGCCTTGTTGGCAACGTAAGACCATTAAAAAGCTTTCATTGTCAGAGCGCGTACCGAATGTTAAAAAACAGTCTTTAGAAATAGAGGCAACCACATATGTGCGACAAACAGCGGTGGGACAATCGTTTCGACCGCACGTGCTATCGAGCTTCAGTATCGTTATATAATTGGGTGCCGTAAACACAATGTTAAAGCCATGCGTGCTTATAAGTCTGCCTTGTTTTTTTTTTGTTTTTTTAACCATGTCACAACTGTAAAAAATTGCTTTTTTTTCTTTTAGCGCTCAAAGCTAACTGGTCTTGCAACGTCATGATTAACGTATTTCTTCATTTAAATAATTGATACGTGGAGTTTAACGTTACATAACCACTATATGATTATGAAAGGCGCCGTAGCGGAGGGCTCCGGAAATTTCCACCACCTGTGGTTCTCTAACGTGCACACATCTGAGCACACGGGCTTTTGCCTCCACCAAAAATGCAGTTGCTGCAGCCGGGATTCGATCCTGTGACCTGTGGGTGAGCAGCCGAGTACCATAGCTACTAGACCACCGTGGCAAGGAGTATTTATGGTTAGCGCGAAGCTTGCTTCTTAAAGCCGACGATCACTTTTTTCGCACACAATTTGGTGAGATATTAACGCCATCTTCTGCTTTCGTGGGCGCTCGCCTTTGTTTCAATGGTGGAGCTTCAATAGACTTCAAGAGCGAGTGGTCCTTCCTGGAAACAGGCACACTGTCCTGGAGCGGTTTCTTGTTCTTGGCATCGATCGAATGCCCCTTAAAAATGCATCTGTTCTTAAATAGCTTCTTAGTTGGTTTTAGGCCACCCAGTTTAGGATTCTGCTTTCATAGTCAAGGAATAGGCCTGTGCTCAATAATTTCATCTTCGCATCTTCGTTGGCTTCCATTTCAAATATACTGTCTTGGGTTGAAAGAAGGATATGATAATGTACCATGAAACTCGAGAAGAAACGCTGACAGACCGGTACGACTAGGAAGGTCAGCATCTTACAATATATTTGGGTTTGGCGCAAAATTATGCCATTCAGCAAGTACCAAGTCACCCAAAAAAAGCAATTGTGTATCTGAAGCGGGATTACAAAACAACTGTAGGCCTCAAATCAGACGCGTAGCCAGAAATTTTTATGGACGGGGGGGGGGGGGGGGGGGGTGAGTGGACGCACCTGCTGATTTTAGAAGGGGCACCCCCTTGAAGTGGTAGTTTTTTGCTCTCTATGCCATGGTGGAAAAAATTTGGGGAAGAGGGGCATGTGCTCGATGTGCCACCCCCTGAATACACCCCTGCCACAAATTAAACAGATTAATGCGTCATTGTTAAACAGATTAATGCGTCATAATATTGTTAGCTCCAATTGAATTCTGAATTATGATGAATACTATTGCACCTCTTCATTCTATAAATCTATTCACAACTTTATTCTGGTGGACATATCAACATGAAATGGTGTTTTTAAGTTTTTGTATTTCTATAGCGATATTGCTTGAAATTCCATGACTTCTCTACAGTGATGCTAATGAATTGTGCTATACTGGATGTTTTTCGCTTTCCTAACCACTGTCCTTGTTTTTGTTTGTTTTTGTTTTTGTTTTTTTTTGTGTTCACGAAACTGTTTACACAAGTATATGTCTCACTCTTTTTTTTTTGTTTTGTTTACGAGCCGGGATGTAGGCCTAGTCAGGAAACAGTTTCGTCTGTTCCCTTTTGCCTCATCTCGGTGGCATGTAACTGTTGTGTACACATGCCAGAATAAAGTATTAAAGTTGGTTGTTTCAGTAGCGATTATTGACGCAACACTGGTTTAATGTGTATGACGAAGCTTGATTTAAACAGGTGCAGGATTAGGCTCATTTTCGAATTAAAACTGCTTTTGCGAGTTCCAGTTATAATCAGGAATGGTGTCGTTTTTAATTGCAGACGATTTAAATATTAAATACACTTAGGCGTGCCTTGCTTTCGCGTGAAATTGAGCCTAGTTTCAGTTTATAGAGCTTGCTCTTTTAGAAAAGAAAACGCCACATATGAAGGCGTTTATGAGGCCCTGTCAGTTATTTTGTGTGAAAATTTATCACAGAAAAATTGTACTCTTACTTGGCGGCCACTCTCGCAGCTTCGTCATTCGTAGAAATTCTGCTGGTGGTCCACCGTCCCAAGCAAATTGGCGCTTAAGTGATTCCGGTGGCGATCGTCTTCCTTAGCTGGATATCAAACGCTTATGCACTTTTCGTAAAATACAACCCGACGCCGTCATCCAACCAATAGTTTGGTACAGGCACCATGTTCAGCCGATAGTTGCAAGAAGGACGCGCGATCTGAAGTCCTCAAACGCGGAAAGAACTTTGCAAACGAACCCAGGTGAACCAACACAGTCCAGTCTCGTCGCACGCAGCCATGAATTACGGTAGTTGCGGGATTGCGGAGACCGTTGGAGGCTGAAGAATAGGTGCTCAGCGTACTCTAAATGAAGGCAGAAACGGGCTACATGGAAAGATTCAGATGCTAGGCATCGCCGAAATAAGTCGGGTGTGTAGAGGCGCACACAAGGGAAAGGAAATGGACGACACCCGAATACTGACTACCAAATGAAACACCGCAGTGCAATGGAAAAGCAGGTAGACACGAAAACTCATGTGCGCATGAACTACAAACGCAATTGCGCTACCTTTCGCTCAGGTATACGCGAAGGCCTATGTGAAAGATAACCGTTCAAGCATGGCATTTCGCATTTATTCAAGATAAGAGGAGTCCGGCGTGCATGCGCTCATATGTACATTTACTGATATGCCGATTTTCAACTCTAAGACACACTTCTTCGTTCTTATGTGTGGTGATGACTACAGTCACGATAAGTTCAATGATGAGCCCCAAGATGAACCAGCTGCGCCCACTGCGGTGAACACGCGATCCATGGCACCAGACACGGAACTGCAGAATCAACGCGAAAAGATCGTGTGTTTCGCTTCAATTTTGCTTATACTTCGAAAACTTTGAGAAGACGAGTGCTGCTTAGATAAACAGCCACGCTTAAACGTGTTTGCTCTACGACGAAGACGACATAATTCATTTTGAAATTCGTCGCCATTACTTAATTGGCTCTGCGCATAGCAGCTTTTGTTTGGCTCTATGGCTGTCCTAAATATCGCGTTTAAAAAGCAATAGTGGTGTCAATTTGCTCGAATTCTTCAGTGGGCCTTTCGGTACAATAATTACGTGGATAGGAAGCTAAAGAAGCTTTGGGGAAGTAATGAAGGTGCAAAATTTACGTGCTCACTGGCAAGATATGCGTTTCATAAAAGAGAACAGCAGCCTCACGCGCCCGACTTTACAGTATACTGATATCCGGCCAAGCTTTTCAGGCTGTGAACATCCAGTTTTTCGCGCAACTCCCGAACTCAATTTTAGTATGTTTACTCGAAGCACCATCGAATACTAATGCGTCTCTAATAACGTTTCATCCATATTGTACAAATTATGCATGCGTGTCACTATTTCGGCGTCCTATGACCGACTGCAGTCAACATAGGATACACAAGTGAGCCGGATACACGTGACGTATATCGTTTTAAAAAGAGCTGGGACTCGGCGGTGGTGTTTCCAGATAATTACATGACTCTTGCACCTCTAGTGACTATGAGAACCAGACCTACTCAACTTAGCAAGCAACATTCTAAACTAAAGCTATAGTACCGTGTACATGTAAGGTAGTTCCAGGATAAAAAGAAGGTACCATGACCATTTAATGTGTCTAGTACAAGTTTCAAAGCTTTCGTCACTAACACCAATAAGTCCATTAAATTAGCGCGTAAACAATCTTTCTAACTTGGCAGTACAGGCGGATTATTGGTAACACAAATAGCCATAGATTATAGCAACGCTGTACAAATCTGCCCTATTCCGTTTTGAGTTACTTTACAGTACACGAGCCGTGTGCATGACAACCGCAAGGCTAGCTAATTTCAATATGCGAGAGTAACGAGAGGCGTGGCACTTTTCAACTTGAGAGTACAATCGAGATAAAAGGCAAGAATAATATTGTGAGGAAAGTTTGTGGCATTCATTTGTGCTATCAAATCACGCGAGCACTATTACTCGCATGAGTTCCGGCGACGACGAAAATCCTGCCTCTAATTCAGATAGTGGATTGTCAATAATAATAATAATAATAATAATAATAATAATAATAATAATAATAATAATAATAATAATAATAATAATAATAATAATAATAATAATAATTCATATTATGTTGTTGTTGTTGTTGTTGTTGTTGTTGTTGTTGTTGTTGTTGTTGTTGTCTGGCGTTTAACGTTCGGAAACCACTATAGTATTGTGAAGAACGCCGTATATAGTGGAGGACTCCTGAAGTTTCGACCATCTCAGTGGTATTCTTTAATGTGCATTTGAATCTCACAGCAGGCAAGCTTCTCTTTCGCCGCCACCTAAACTCGACCACCTTGAAAAGGACCGAAACCGCGGCTTTCCGCTCAGCAGCCGAGAACCGTAACAACTGATCCACCATGGTGGTCGATGACCTTGCATAGTGCTTCTACGCTAAAACACACCACAAAAAGAAAGGGGAAAAAAGAATATACGCATTTTAAATGAGACGGACATCAAAGAAGCTCGAATAAAGTTATCGTTGTGGTGAGGCGATGATGGCGATAAAAACGTTGCAGGAAGCCATGCAAGAGAGAAAACAAGATCAAATGTCCTCGACTTCGACAACGCCGTACAAACTGGTATAGACGGCTAGCAAGGAAATTCAGCCGCATACCTTTTTACTTTTCGAAATCCTCTTAGCTAAATATGCGCTGAGCGAGCAATGACGTAAGCAGCACTGTCGATTTCGACACCAAGTTGTTAGGCGACTGAGCAGGCGACAAGGCCATGAAGTTAAGTAGCGTGGCGTGATATATAACACGAAGACGGCCATAAAACGATTCCGTGACAATTACACACGAACAAACCACCGTGACGCAGGCGATCGTGTGCGAACTGTATTAATAAATGCGAAGCATTTCGTAGCGATCTATCTATCTATCTATCTATCTATCTATCTATCTATCTATCTATCTATCTATCTATCTATCTATCTATCTATCTATCTATCTATCTATCTATCTATCTATCTATCTATCTATCTATCTAGCCACCTACGACTTTTAGCTCTCCTGGCCGTTTCGATAATGGTATCGATACCAAAGTTGGTATGGCGTAATATGACTACATGGCGAGCATAAGTGACTGGTCATAACATGAAAATCATAACATGCATGTCATGAATGTAATGAGTTACATTTCATGGTCCTGCTGCTCTTGCGGTTGTTTCGTTTGCATGGCATATTTCAAAATTGGTATGGCGTGACATGACTCCATGGCAAGCATAAATGACAAGCCCTCACGTGGAAATCATGACATACGTGTCATGTAAGAACATGACTACATGCCACGCTCATTGTGGACTGCCGGTCGTTTTGCTAGCTTCACATATACCAATGAATGACGAAGGTATATGACTGCCTCAAACATGATAATCGTGAGATGCGTGTCATGTAAGAACATTACATGCCACGCTTATGATGCACTCGCGGCCGTTTCGCTAGCTACCAAATTGGGTATCACGTGACGAGAACGGACGACGAAAGTAAATGACTCGTCCAAACATGATAATCATAACATGCGTGTCATGTAAAACATGACTACATGCTATGCTCATAGTGCGCTCACAGCCGCATTGCTAGCCTCACATACACCGAATTCGGTGTTACGTACGTGACGTGAATGGATGACGAAGGTATATGACAAGTGCCAACATGATAATCATGACATACGTTTTATGTAAGAACATGAGTACATACCACGCTCATGATGCGCTCACGCTCGTTTCAGTTGCGTGACATCTACTAAATTTGTTATTACATGATGTGAATGGACTCCGAACACAAGTGCCAGGAAAAAACATGATGATTATGATGGAGAAGTCATGTGCGGCATAATTTACATGCCTACCACTGCTGGTGCTGGTATTGCCGATGTTAGTGGTCCCGTCGTTACATGACTATAAACAACATACGTTCATATTACCGAGATACGTGAGTGCGCATAACATTTCTATACTTGTGTTCAGTGTGTACTACGACCGTCCGCCTCGTAATGTTGTGCTGATTAGAAAGTGGCATATCAACCTTCCTCATTCGTATGAATGAGGAAGGTTGATATGCCACTACCAAATGAACTACCAAATTCGGTATTCTGTCACGCGAACGGACAGCGAAAGTAAATGACGCGTAGAAACATGATAATCATGACATGAGTGTCATGTAAAACATGACTACATGCTATGCCCATAGTGGGCTCGCGGTCGTTTTGCTAGCTTCACATATACAAATTTTGGTATCTCGTGACGTGGATAGAGGATGAAGGTAAATGGCATGTCCAAAAATGATATTCATGACATGGAAGTCGTGTGCGGCATAATTTGAGTGACATATCAACCTTCCTCATTCGTTGTTCGCGTGTCATCGATTCCCACTATACGTAGGATCTGACAATTTTTTTCTTAAATGTATCCGTTTTAAATAAATGAACTTTTCTTATTGCCGTTCTGAATGATGTCTTCAACCCTATCAGATGTTTCCGCTACAGAAAATGCAACTGTGAAGACAGCGAGAAAATAGCTACTTTTGGTGAATTTTAATTTTAGAGAATATGGACACATTTCTTGAAACACCCTGTATACTATATATATATATATATATATATATATATATATATATATATATGAAAAGATGTGTATACCTAAGAGATTGCTTTTCATGTTTTTGACACAATAATATTGAAATCTCAAGGACAGTAATCAAGGAATGTAGGGGAAGTTATTAGACCAATTGTACTGTAAATGTGAAGAAAGAAAAGTGGTGAAAAGCTCTCAGCAAGTTATCTTTTTCCACATTTACATTACAATTAGTCTAATAACTTCCCCTATACATTCCTTGGCATTATTGTCACTTATATATATATATATATATATATATATATATATATATATATATATATATATATATATATATATGTGTGTGTGTGTGTGTGTGTGTGTGTGTGTGTGTGTGTGTGGGTGTGGGTGTGTGTGTGCAGGGTGCCCCCCGCTGTCT